TTTTTTGTGTTGCAAGAAAGAAATAGATATGGTTGCACGTTTGAGCGGTCTTTTTGAATGTTGTGTTGACTAGCTGCATTTTTATGTGAGCCTTGTAATGAACATTGCATGTAAGATTTTTATCTTTTTAGGTTGTGATAAATGATTGTGTTTTAACTGCGATGTGTTGTGAGGTTTTACTTGAAAGCATGCTCGTGGAATCCTAGAATTTTTCGTTTCAGTCTAATTGTATAGCCTTTAGAAGTGTAAGGAATGATCTTGTGGTGAAATTTTAGGACGGACCTAAATTTCCATATCATTTGTGACTACCTAGTGACGGTGTGCAATATTTTTGGCACCATTTGAGCCGAAACCATTTGTTTCCAACCATATTGAAACCTCTTGAGCTAAATTGTCCCTTACTTCTCACCCAAAATCCTTTTTTAAGCATTTGTATGTGTCAATAGCCAAGTTAGGCAAAAAGCCTAAGTTGGGGCTGTTGTAAAGAAGAAGGAATGAAAGTCAAGTGAAAGGCAAAGGAAGATGTAATCAGACAACTTTGATGTGTGTTACAAAAAGAAGGAACCCCTCATTATAAAAAACAGTGTGTGATGAACTACATTTGAAAAATTGAAATGAAAAAGAGACTTTGGTGAAATAAAAGGGGTTCCAAATAAAGTTATTGACAAACTAAATTCTTGACTTCTCAAGTGAAAACTTGAAATGAACTTGAGAAGAAGTGTATATGATTGCAACAATGCATTGAAAAGGTGATGTCAATGAGCCAAGTTGATCATACCTTAACCCTCACTCCCACTACTGTAACGACCGGGTTCCATCGTTATAGAAAAGCCAATAGGGAAAAAAAAATTGGTCCGCAAACTTTTTCGTAGTAACTTGAAATTCCCAACCTAGTCCAGATTTGGACGAAATTGGAGTCATTAAGGTGTAGGGAAATCTGATAATAATTGGGTGATTTAATTATGATGTTGATTACAAGAGTAGATAGATAAGTCGTTAAGGAACTTGTACGACTTTACAAAATTCAATTCGGGCAAGTAGAACTCCCGAAATTGAACTTAGCGTGAAAGGTATTTTTTGAGTGTTGTTGGCCGAAGGTGCGTTGTGAAAATGGAGGGCATTGGAATTATTAAAATAACTCACTATTTCGTGCAAGCCACTTTGGCAGTGATTTTTGTTGCCAGGGCGGGGACGCTGTAGCGGTGTGATGGCCGCTGTGGCGGACCAAACGCGACTTAAAGTCGTAAATAAACCCCAAAAATATTTTATTCTGTAATTTTCGAATTTGAGAGCTAAGGAACGAACCCAAATCTCTTCTTGATAGTTTTCCACCATTGTTGAGGCTAAAAGTAAGATTTTCACTCCCCTAATATGTTTTTTGTTCCGTAGAACATAATCTAATAAGTGATTATCGATGAGGAAGGGTTTTTGACCTAGAATTCATGGTGGGAAAAGCCCTAATTTTAATAGTGGATCATGGGTATGATCTAGGGTTGTTAGAATTGTTAGTAATCTGGGTAATTAGTGATTGTTTATTGATTCCCATATTATGTTGATTGTTTGTAGACAAAGAACAAGCGGAACGAATTCGAAAGTGGAAGGATCAAGTTTCTTAGAGTTTCAAGCTTGTTTCGAGGTAGGTCATGGTTGTGATTCTATGATTGTGTGTTGTATGTTTGTTCTTACTTCATTATGATACATGTATGTATGCGAATGTTGCATTGTTGATCACATTAATTGTAAGTGACGATAGACGAATGATGAATGCCATGAATCATGACATGATTTTATTGATTATGACAATATATTTGTGATTGTGATTGTGGCTTATTGAATGGATCGGGTGTTGCGTTTCAACACACTAACATGGATCGGTTGCCACGTTCCGGCATACACATTGGATCGGGTACCACGTTCCGGTATGCTAACTGTTTGGGTTTGGGTTTCATGATAGGACTAATGATTTTCTATAATTGTGTATCTTGAAAAATGTGAAATTGTACCTTGTTCGTAAATGTTGATAATATTGTATATGTTCGATATACGCATGTGATTATATTGTTGTAATAACTTACTTAGGTAGCACTTAGTGGGATAGCCGCGTGATCCTACTAGGACACTGTGGTTGTGTATTGACAGTGCACTTGCTCTTTCTTTGTTGAGTACAGGGCATTTTCAAGCCGCTATTGACAGACCTTGTTTAGAAGATCAGTGATTGCAAATCGAATTCAAGGGTGAGCCAGTTCTTCCAGGCTACCATAAGTTCTCCATTCTTCTATGTCCACATTTTAGACTTAGACTTTTCTAATTAGTTATTAGTTCATTAGCTTGGGGTTGTGACCCTTCTTGTTAGACTCATGGATCTTGTTAGATGTTTTTGTACATTGACTTTCAGGTTCTAGGCGTATTTTTCCGCATTGTTTAGATGTTAGATATTTGGAAGTTTATGGGAACTTCAATTTTTAGCTATTTAAACTTGCTTACGTAACTTTAATGCCTTAGTATTTTGATTAAGTTGATTAGCTAATTAGTATAAATGGTTCTCCCACCAGAGGGTTACTGTGGGTTCCAATAACGATTGTCTGGGTCGTGTCAATTACAAGCCCAAAAGACCCTGAGATCATGCATAAACTTGATTTGTGATAATTGGAAAATATGTGCAAACCTATGGGATGAAGATTACATGTATTTTTCTTTTGTGAGAGTGAGAGATTTATTAATTCCTTACTTCTTTATTGATTTTCTTTATTAGAACATCGAATTGTTCTTTGTGTCAGGGTACTTGAATACATTAGTTCCAACATTGTTTTGCATTAGAAACGAAGCTATAGCGAGCTTGTGCTTTGTTTTATACCGGCTAGTCATCATTTGATGCTTTTTTTTTTGTCACAATTGAGTTTAGCATATTTTTTCGAGTAGTCTTGAAATGGAAATTGCATGTTAGCTCTAATTGGGAACTATGGTAGGCACCCTTGATGAGCTATTTTTGTTTGTTCTTTAATTGAGGACAAGCAACTGTTTAAGTTGGGGGAGTTGATGAGTGCTAGATTTACACTTATTTAGGCTTATATATCGAAACAATTTGTGCCCTTAATGCCTAATTTTTTTTTCTATTCAACATTTGAGGAAAAAACTATGCATTGAGAACACAAATTGTTGAGCTAAAAATAGGCCTTAAATAAGTATAAATCTAGATCTCATAAACACCCCAAACTTAAACTTTTGATTGTCCCCAAGTAAATCGAGAACACAAATAGCTCAATATGGGTGTCTGCGACACTTCTGAATGAGAACTAACATGCAAGTGCCATTATAAGAATACTTTCAACAACATTCTATACTCAATTATGATTAAAAAGATATCTTGAAATGCTTACTCTCCGGTAGAAAAACCAACCTCAAGCTCACTATAACCTTTTTTCTAATGCAAGACCATGTTTCCACAAATGCATTCAAGTGCCCTCACATAAAGAACGACTTTATGCTCTCACAAAGAAAATCAATAAAGAAATAAGGAATCAATACAAGTCTAATTCTCAAAAAAGAGAATTGCATGAAAGCTTCAACTCATAGGCTTTCCCATATTTTCCAGTCATCACACAACCCAGTTTATGCAAGATCTCAAGAGTCTTTTATGCTTGTAATGGGGCTAAGAGTTAAGGTATAGTCAAATTTTCTTAGTGACTTCACCTTTTCAAAGCATTGTTGGATTCATCTTCACCTCTTCTCAAGTTCTTTTTCATATCTTTTCAATTGAGAACTCAAGACTTCGATTTGTCACTGAGTTTATCTTGAACCCCTTTTTATTTCACCGAAGTCTTTTTCTCATTAAAATTTCTCAAATGTTGTTCAACAAACATTTTTTGTTATAAAGAGGGGTTCCTTTTTATTTCACCAAAGTCTTTTTTTCATTTTTTATTTTTTTTTAAGAATTTTTGGTCCAGTGGACCTTTTATTCATTCATAATCCTAAATAATCCACAAAACCAAATAAGAAACAAATTGAGACCAACCCAAATACTTGGTCGGTCCAAAATCTACAGTTTAGGGTTTTTTAGAAACCATCTACATCTTTGTCTCAGTTGCCTCTGGTTGGTGCGTCCATGTCCTTCTCTACTGAGCTTGCAGCTAAGGTAAGCATTTATCCTGCTCTCCATTGTTACTCCATTTCTGCATTTCTAGTTGTTGAGTCAATCCCGCTTCCATGAAGATCTCTTGAGTCAGGCGCATCGATGTCGGCGATGCAATTCTCAAATCCAAAACACCGGCGATTCTAAAGGTCTCAACAGCACGGAGGTTAGTCGAATTTCTATAGTACGCAACTAAAACTTGTACTATTTCTCCATTTCCGTCCATGTTCTTGTTGCGACTATTATGCAAAAGCTTTTACTTTATATCTAATCTTTGAATGAATAGCCTCTGTTACTCCTCTGTATACTCTGTTGCTTGATTGTTAATTGATCTAGTTCGGATTCTCAATGAAGGGACTTGAGCCTTGTCCATATTCAGAATGCCTCTTCCTTTCGTAGGTAGACTAATGAATGTGTCGAACTGAACCACTCCTACTGCTCCTATCACTGCGTTAGCTACGAAATCTGCTAACTTGTTCCCCTCCCTCGGTGTATGTTGAATCCTTGCTTTGGTGATGTTCATTAATTCTCTACATTCCTCCACCTGTTCAACTCTTTCCTAGGGAACTTTCCAAGAGTTCCTTAGACAGTTAACAATGCTGAGTGAGTCTGATTCCAGCCAAAACCCATCTAATCCAGTCCTTTTACAGTATCTCAATGCCTCCAATATTGCCATGATTTCTGCTTCCATGTTAGTTCTTAAACTAATATCCTCTCCCTGTGCATATACAAGATTACCAAATTCATCCCTAATACAAAATCCATAAGCACTTTGTCCAGGATTCCCTCTGCAAGCACCATCGGTATTCACTTTAACTTTATTCCTTGGTGGTGGAACCCATCTTATGCTCATGGCATGAAGCCTAGGTTTCTAATCACTAAGACATTTGACTATATTATTCCATTCTGTAGGGATCTTTTGTATCCAAGGGTATTTCACCTTGATTAAAAGATGTATCTGAACTTTGATATGCTCCTTCATCTGATTATAACTGCATTTTCCTCCATGTTTGATTGTGTTCCTTCTCCTCCACAGAGCCCACATTATCATTGCTGGAACTGCTCTCTGAATTGCCATTAGTTTTATGTTAGCATTTTTGGTCCACCATGTTGTGATTACTTGTTGCAACTGCATGCTTTCTATGTTTATACCTGCACAATTAGCAAAATGCTTCCATAGCTTGTTGGCAATAGAAGCTGTTAGAAAAAGGTGGGTCATAGTCTCATATTTGCTTTCATGACAACACCAACATTTTGAGACTATCTGTATCTTCATCCTTTGCAAGTTATCATCTGTAGCTACTCTTCTTTTCCACACCCTCCAAAAGAAGAAACATAATTTAAAAGGCATTTTGGGATCCCAAATAAATTCAAAGTCTCTTCTTTTCTCCTTTTTCTTCCTTTGACCCTCCCAAGCAGATTTCACACTGAATTCTCCATTTTTTTTCAACATCCACCAAGCTTTATCATTCCTCCCCTCTGTTAACTCTGGCTTAACAGTATCTACTATACATTCTGTTATCTCTTCTGACAAATGATTCAGAAGCTTATGTTTATCCTAACTTCCATTATGAATGAACTCTTTGACATCTATTTCTTCTTCCTCAGCATTGTCCCCCTCTATATAGTATAAAGACCCTTGCTTTGTTCAATTGTCATACCAGAAACTTGAGGAACCATCTTTGATTTGCCACCAAATATTATGTTCCACCTCTTCTCTGATCTGCACCATCTTCCTTCAAATATGAGAACCCCGTAAGCTTTTGGCCATTATAGGATGGGCTTTCTTGCAGTATTTGTTCCACATAAATGCACTCCAAAGTGAGTTTGTAGATACCCTGAACTTCCACCATAGTTTTGCAAAAAGTGCATTGGATAGGTCATGCAGTGATCTGAAACCCAAACCACCCTCTTCTTTTGGACTGCATAAGTCCTCCGATGCTACCCAATGCTTACTCCTTGTACCTGCAATGTTACTCCAAAAAAACTTTGCAAATATCATAAGTAACTGTTTAATAATCCCTTTAGGTGGATTCATTACAGTTAAGAGATATACAGGCATTGATTGGAGCACATGAGCTATCAAGATGTATCTCCCCCAAATGAAAGTAATTTGTTCTGCCACAATAATATTCTCTTTCTTACTTTCTTCAGCAGCTCTTCAAAATGATCTGTTCTTCTTCTCCCATAAAATATAGGACATCCCAAATAGGTGAAAGGAAAAGTTCCCTGACCTATTCCTGTCACTTTCCTAATTCTTGAGCAGTCTGCAATGGGCACTTTCTCATGAAGATATAAGAAACTTTTAGATAAATTAATCAGTTGACCAGAAACATATTCATAGTCTCTTAGCACTTTCATCATCTTCTTTATAGATCTGTGATGTCCAGAACACAATAAAATGGTGTCATCAGCATATGACAAATGGTTTATGTCTGGGCTCCACTTGGGAATACAATATCCTTTGTAATCAGGTTCCTCATGCAGTTTATTCAAACCCCTTGGTAGAACTTCTGCAGCAATGATGAACAAAGTGGGAGACAATGGATCTCCTTGTTTCAATCCCCTGGAGGATTTGAAAAACCCTTGTTTTTGCCCATTAATCAGTATAAAATACCAATTATTAGTTAATAGCCTCCAGGCCATATCAATCACTCTCTCCCCGAAACCAAATTTTCTCAACACTTTTGTTACAAACACCCAAGATACCCTATCATATGCTTTAGCCATATCCAACTTCATTACAATATTATGCAACTTGTTTCTTCTGTTTATGTCCCTAACAATTTCCTGAGCTAACAACACATTCTCAGAGATGCTTCTACCTTTAACAAACCCAGCCTGATTGTTTGAAATAATCTTTGGGAGAATTGCGACAATTCTTTCATGAAGCATTCTAGAGATTATTTTATTAGAAAAGGTACTTAGACTAATTGGCCTTAAATCTGAAAAAGTCACCACTTTTTCTTTTTTGGGTATAAGCACCAAATTAGTGTGAATAACATACCTTGGCAACTCTTGTCCAGCAAAGAATGCCTGCACCATTCTAGTGATATCATTGCCTATGATGTCCCAACATTTCTGAAAAAACAACCCAGAGAAGCCATCAGGTCCACTAGTGCTATCTCCATTTAAGGCATCCACCACTACCTTTACTTCATCTTCCGTTGGTGGTTTACTGATTTTGTCATTCTCCTCCTGTGTGATCAAAGAAGGAATATTCTCCAGCATGCTATAATCTCTGTCTCCCCTCTCCTCAGTGAATTGCTTCTTAAAAACTTTGACAGCTTCTTCCCCAATTCTCTGTGTCCCATTAATGATATCTCCTTGATCAGTGTGTATCTCCTCTAAATTCATCCTCCTTCTTCTGCCTTTCACATAAGAGTGGAAGAATTTAGTATTTCTATCCCCCTCCTTGAACCAACTCAATCCTGATTTCTGCTTCCAATATTCTTCCTCAAGATTCAAGAATCTAATAAGCTTTGCCTCTGCCTTCTTCAATTCTGCCCTTGAATTTTCATCAGGCCTAACCTCCAGTTGAGCTTCTTTTGCCTGAATAATATCCTCTAATGTAGCAATTTGCTGGAAAATATTCCCATATTCTTTTTTGCTCCATTCTGCCAGAGCAACCTTTACTTTTTTCATCTTTGTATGTACTTCTGTAAATGGGTACCCTACAAAATCAATCTTCCAATTATCCTGTACAATTTTCTTGAACTATTTGTGTTTTGTCCAGAAATTCAAAAATTTGAAAGGTTTAATCAGTGGTTCACTTTCTGTGTTGCATTTAACCAGTAAATGTGCATGATCTGACCCTTGTCTCAGCAGATGTGCTACTTCTGAAGCTGGGAGTAGCTCAAAAAACTTTTGATTGCCCATTACTCTGTCTAATCTTTTAAATATGCAAGCCTCCCCTATTCTTCCATTCCACCATGTATATTTACTTCCTATAAACTTTAACTCTTCAAGGGCACAACTATTCAAACATTGCTCAAAATCAATAGTCTCTAAATTTGACACTGGTAACCCCCCCATCTTTTCCTCTTCATTTCGTATCACATTGAAATCCCCACCTACCACCCAAGGCAAGTGATTGCCTTCAACAACATTCTCCAAATCTTCCCATAATTCAAGTCTTTCTATTGCACTGCACCTAGCATAAACTGCTGTCATTAGTATCTGCTTTTGACTGCCAATGTGAGTGAATCTCACGGTAATTTGTTGGATAGTGTCTGATATGATGTGTCCCTCCCACTCTTCATGCCAGAATATCCATATTTTTGAAGAACAGTTAACTAGGGCATTTCTTAGTCCTATTCTCCTCCTGTAACTCTCTACTTCTGATGGATTTTGAAATGGCTCAAAGAGAGCAATATATGAAAAGTGATGTCTTCTGTTAAGATCTAGCAATCTCTCAAAAACATTTTGAGTATTGACTAATCTTATATTCCAATATATGATGTTGTCTATCATAGATCACTAGATGTTTGTCTCTCCCTATTACTCCTTGTTTGCACCTGTAAAGGTACTGTAATCCCTGGTTTAGCTCTTCTTAGTCCACTTCTCAGTCTGTCCAACAGTCTGGGTGAGAAATCACCCTCTTTGCCAATGCTTTTAATGTTTTCCTCCATCTCTTCATCCTCCTCCTTGTTCCTTATAACACTAATTTCCTGTGTATTTAGATCTTCTAGCATCTCATTCGTGTCTGCTACTGATTGAACTTCTTTGAAAGGAGTTGAAACCCATGCCACTAGTTCACCAGTTGGATTTATGCTTATACCCCTCTGCACTTCCACCAAATCTTCATGTGAATTCGTTATTTTATTAGTACTCTGAACACTCTTCCCTGTTTCTTGTTCATTGTTTTTGCTCCATTGCTCCCCACTTCATTTTTCCCCACTTCTCCTTACTAATGATCTAACTTGTTCATGGGTGTTTTGATTTGAATCTTTCTTATTGTTGTCTGTTTGTGATTGTTCTGATTGCATCTCTCTCTGCTTCTCTACTTCTTCCCCTTTATCTTTTTCCTGCCTGACATTGTCCTTTTTTGTGTGTTTTCTTCACTTTGTCCTTCTTCCACCTCTAGTGCAGTAAATTTGTTCACAGTAATCACAACACCTTCCTCCTGTGGCCTAATTTTTTTGTTCCACTGTTGTGTCACCCCTGTCCTTTTTTGTTGTACTCCCCTACCAAATCTATTTTTCAACCTATGCTCCTTGAATATCTGTTCATCCTCATTTTGCTGGCCTTTGATGTCTGTTCCTTTTCCTTTATCATCTTCCTTTCCCCCCTCAAGCACTTTGTCTTTATTATCTTTGTCCTCCTTGGGATATAATTCTGGATGCAAAATATAACAAGCCTTTTCATCATGTCCTTGCAATTTGCAAGTTGTACAATATTTAGGAACATAATCATATTTTATTCTAATCCATTTCTCAACTACATCTCCTGTACTGTGTTTCCTTACCCCTATCTTGATCCTTTTAGGAAAATCACTTAATAAATTCACTTCCACCTTTACTCCTGCACAGCTGGGTCTTGATTGGTTCTTCGTGGCCATATCTACTTGCAGAGACTTACCCACGGCTGATGCCAATGAAAAAATAGCTTCTTTGACAAAAAAATTCGGGGGCAACTCTGGGAAAGAGATCCAAGCTATGGCTGTTGTAGTTTCTTCCTCCGGGTCAAAAAGTGGGTCCCACTTTAGTGTTCTCATTGGGTAGGACCACCCCCTCTGAGTGATGTAAAAAATTAGCTTTAACAGTAAGTTTACGTCGTCCTCTAGTAGTGAGGCCCTTATCAGCACATATCTATTGCTCAATAAACCAATTTTACATTTTCCTTTCAAGTTACATTGTTTGGGGATTAACGATCTGAGTTCTTGACTCTCCGGCTATCCATATGAAAATTTTCCAAGTATGGCATATTGTAGGTTCTCCTTAATTATCATTTGTTCTACTTCCTCCTCCTCCCAAATAATTCTTGGTTCTCCATGCAAATATGTAACAGGTTTTAGCGTTAAATTGATGTTTAATTCATTAAATTTTTTCAAATGTTGTTCAACAAACATTTTTTGTTATAAAGAGGGGTTCCTTTTCTGTAACAAACTTCAAAGTTGAGTCTCATTTCATCTTCCTTTGCCTTTCACTTGGTTTTCATTCCTCCTTCGTTTCAAAGCCCCTAGCATAGGCTTTTGGCCTAAGGTTTCTATTCACACATACCAATGCCTCAAAAAACCTTTTGGGTGAGACGTTAGGGACAATTTTAATCAATAGGTTTCAATATAGTTGTCAACAAATTTTTTAGGATCAAATGGTGCAAAAATGGTTGCACACCCTCACAAGGTAATCACAAAAGATATGAAAGTTTAGGTTCCCTCTTAAAGATTCTGCCCAAGATAATTCCTTACACTTACCAAGGTTCCACAATAAGACTAACAACACTAATTCTAGGATTCTACGAGAATACTTTAAAGTAAAACCTCACCACACATGGCACTCAAACACAATCATTTATCACAGCCTAAAAAGATCAAATCTTATGTGTGATGTTCATTGCAATGCTCACAACAAAATTCCGCTAGTCAATCAAAGATTCAAAAAAATCGATTAAATGTGCAACCACATCAATTTCTTTCTTGAAACAAAAACACTATACAACATGATCATCATAAATATTATTCAAAAACTCGATATTGAACATAATTGATCCTCAAATTATTATCAGTAAAAACTCAAGTATTTCACAATTTCTAAAGCTCATGGGGTAATTAAAAGTTTGAGAGAAAAAAAAAAGAGACCTAGAGAGACAAAACAATCGAAACACTATAATAAAAAAATATATTGCAATTATCAAAAAATTGAAAGTAACAAAATACAAAGTAAAGAAGAATATTGGCACAACTACCCTCAACCCATGAAAAAGTAAATGTGGTATCCTTAATGCAAAACCAAAAAGTACTTGAGGAAAGGTTAAAAGGTCCCCCTAAAAGGCTATTCCTATGGAGTGCTCTCACAAGGAGTCTGTAGAGGAATGGCAAAATCCAGGGCATCAGTGCCCGGCAATAAGATTACATGAGGTGGCAGTGTAGGATTATCCGAGGTACAGTGGCTCGCATTATAATAGTAAGAATGGTGGTGTCTGAAGAGACTCTGTGCCAATAAAGAATGGTGAGCCTATGGTATAGGTATCGTCAAGGGATCTCTCTAAAGTTTCATGAACAATAGTCTCCTAAACATCCTACTCCTCAATCATTGTCAAGGGGACCCTCTATTCAGCCTCCTTGATTCTCATCTACTCCCCATCTTTCTTGTCGACCAAATCATCATTGGCCCTATCATCTTCTCGCATGTCATCCTCAACTCCAACATTAGCTACATCATCAATAGTCACATATTAAACCACGCCATAAGGAAGCTCACTTTTAGGCATAGTCGGGGGCTTAGACATGGGCACACTAGTTAGGGGAACCTCACCCCACAACACACAAAACCCTATTTACCTCACATGTTCTACACGACCTCTAAGGGTCCAATCTTACCCCCTATAGTAGCAATCACCACCAACCTACCCTCAGGCTTCTCTTGGGCCTCTAATCTAGTAGTGAGGTTGTTCAACCTCACAATATGTGACTCTATTGAAGCCTAGCACCAAGTCATCCTATCTCTCGATGGAGCTAAAACCTTCTCAAAAGCCTGCGTAGGAAACTTGGGCAAATAAGCATTAACCTTCCCCTCTCTCACATCCGCAGAATAGGAAAAATAACCAATTTTATTTATCATGGTCTGAATCAATAGAGGATGAGAGATAGCAATAGTGGTAGGTGCATCAGGAGCAGTGGAAGTTAAAGTGAAATGTACATAAGAAGTCATGGGTATACGTGACGGCTCCATAGAAGGAGAAGATGTAGTGGACTTAAAAGGAAAAGTAGCAGGATCAACTACAAGCGTAGAATTTGGTGGTGGCGGCTTCCTCCGAGCCGCTTTGTCTAGTAGATAATCGCCCTCAATCCTCTCGATATCATTTTAGGTAGCTGGGGTGATCCACACATCAATCTCCCCATTAAAGGGAACTCCAGCATCCTCACACAACTGTGTGATCAAGACTGGGAAAGGAAATGAAGTTTGAACATGTGGAGCTCTTAATAAAATATCTTCAACAATAACCTCAGTTATGTTTCTTACCCATAATAATAAAACGAGGGAATGCATGGGAATGGACTTATTCTGGGATGACATGATGCTAATTCTTATGAAGTCAAACTACTATCTCATAGCCACATTCATGTCCTTATTTTCATTTTTTACTCTCTCGCCCATCCATGGTGTGGGGATATCAGAGATAATAGGGGCTAACAAACCCTTCAAGTCATCTAGATTTTTATTCAGTCTGAGTGGGATGTAAGAATTAGTTGTACTTTTGGTGCCCAAAAGATCATTGATTTACCCTAAGTGGCATTGCACTATCCTGCGACGAACTTTATCTTCTTCCAAGGGCTTCACAGCGCCCTTCCTCTTCATTTGTAGTGCCTCTGTGTAGGATACATAAAATTCTTGTACTCATGTAGTACCATATGGAGGCCGTGATCTTGTGAGCCTCTCAAACCCAATCTTGTCCCAAATAGCCAAGTACACATTGACCACTCCATCAGTGAAGTCTTTGCTCGTTCAATATTGTTCCACTACAAGAAAAGCCTTATTTAAGACCAACATTTATGGAAGAGTTAATTATCATGTCTCTAAGAGTATATCTATTGGTACGAGATTATATTTCGGTCCTTATTTGTACATTTTATTGAGAAGATATTAAATCTAGTCCTTAAAAAACTAATTCACTGGTCCCAAATTCTATTGAGGGACGTGAGCGGGAGAAAATTCTACCAATATTTTATACTAAAATATTAAAAAAACAAACTTTTATTTTTGACAAAACATTAGGAGCTAAAAGATTTATACATAAGGTAAATGAAAAGACCTGCATCTACTTTTAAACAAAATTGCAGCCCGTCCTAAAAGTTGCCCTAGTTTGAGCTCTTAAGAACGCCATTGCAAATGATCAAGGTCGTCACTCTGCCCTAATCTCAACTTTTTTCTATTTAATCTTAACGTTCCTCTGCCCTAATCATTTCTTTTTCTTTGTATCATTGTTGCTCTGCTCTAATCATTTCTTTGTATCGTTTCACCCCAACTTTGCTCAAAATAGAATTCCAAGTTGGTTTTTTTTCTGATCGAGTTTTTGTGTTTCTTGCATATGTTTTATTGATGTCATCTGCCCTAATCGTTTCTTTATCTATGTATCATTGATGCTCTACCCTAATCATTTCTTTGTATTGTTCCACCCCAGCTTTGCTCGAAACAGAATTCCAGGTTGGATCCTCTTCCGATCGAGTTGTTGTGTTTCTTCCATCTGTTTTATTGATGTCATTTTTTCATTGTTGTATTCAAGCTACTCTTTTTGTTCTTCCTTTTTTTTTAACAATAAATAGGTTACTAGTTTCAAAATCTAGTCTCTTTTCTTTTGTAAAATTAGTGGGAAGATTATTGGACTGCAATTTCTAATAAATAATTGATTATGTAAAGTGTATTTTGTGTCTCAAGATTCATATATCATATAAAGTGCATATAAAATTTGAAGAAACTCACTGTTTCATGAATAACATACTAGCTTTATATATACCACCACGTAGGATGGGTCTTGATCAGTAGGCATAAATATAATCATCATATCATGGTGTATACTCCACTAATTTGGATCACAAGTTCTGTTGTTAAATTGAACAAAATGACAATGCTTGCCTTATGTTATTTTAACATAAAGTAATTGCCTGTAGTATTGAAAAAACCTGCCTGAGGTAATCCTTATTTTGAGTTCCAATAATTTGAATTATTGTGCAATACTTGATCAAGGTACGAGGAAAGATCAGGGGATGTAATTTGTATCTAGTTAGGCATTTAATCACACTAATATACTTGAAATATGGTAGCTATAAGTTGCTAAAACACTGATATTAAAATAATGTCCTCTATTCAGTAAAAAAAATAATAGATCTAATGAGTGTACCTCATATTTGGGAAAAGTGCCAGAACCAGTTATAGTAATGTCCTGCTTTTTTCCTTTACCCTTATCAGTTATCAGTAGCCGTGACAAAAAGAATACCATCGACATAAATGTTAAATTGCACTTCAATCTGGGGAACACCCCTTGGAGCCGAAGGGATTCCATCCAGGCGTAACATTCCAATAGACTTGTTATCTTTTACAAACTCTCCTTCACCTTACCGCACATTAATCTCAACACTCGTTTGCCCATCTGCTCTTGTTGAAAAAACTTATGATTTTGAAGTTGGTAGTGTTGTATTCTTGGCATGATTTTAGTTTACAATGAAAATAGTCATATAACTATAGGTAATCGTCAATTTGAGTTCTAGTAATTTGATATGAAGCATGCATTTGGCCGCCAATGTATTTCTTTTTACTTGCAGAATTGATGTGTCTATGCCTAGTGGACCAAAACTTTTAATTCATCTCAGTCATAGTGCAAAACTGATCACCTTCATCCACAAATCTAACAAATCGTTAGCCCCGTTATGTGCCATATTTTTCTATCTGTTACAACCTTAACTCCATTGGTTGAGGAATAGTTGGCCCTAAATATCTTCTAAAACAAGTAATCTTTGAATTCAAGTGCCATGTCACCTACAGAAATATATTATATTTA